CCATACAAACGCGTGAGCACAAGGGCGGAATCAGCTGTGAGCTTGCTAGTCGTAAATCAACGTGCGCTTGTGCGTTGAATTATCAAAATTTACATCAATAGTATATCGGAGAAGGACCGTTTTTGAGTATAATGCATCGCGGAATTATTGCACCAATTATAACCACTTTATAAGAAATACAATTCTCTATCAGATGAGCTGTTTTATGTTGGAAAATATCTAAGAAAAATTCAGAAAAAAAACTTAAGCGATCTTAAAATTGAAAATCTTGGGCGAAAACGGGACTCATATTTATAAAATACCCAATTTCAAGTTAAAGAGATTGTCATCGAGCACATTTTGTAGGATTTGAAAACCTTATCGGATGAGTTTTCGTATTCGAAAAAAACGAAGGTGTTTTTGGAGGTTTCGGTGGTTCTAAAAGTGAGAGCTGCAGCTGAATGCAGAAAGTACCCAGTTAAGGTAAAGGAACCGTTGTCGAGCACAGCGATTGTGCAAATCTTCCAAGGCAGATTTCAAATAACAGCTTTTGCAATTTACAGAAGTGATACTTCCCGAAATTCACTGCCTATGTTCATGCAACGATTTGTGTTCAACACTGCTCAATTGGAATCATTCAAGCAAAGGACTTTGTTCAAGTTTTTATTATCGTTAATTCACAAATCAAGACAATATTTATTTACAAATCAAGAAATTATTTCGCAGAATTCCTTGGAGTATGAGCTTTATTTGGCTGGAATAAATAATCTCTATGTTTGTTTGAGTAATAATTCGAGATGAATGGCATGAAGCCGAATGGTGTTCGTGAGATGAGTGAAAGGAATGGTGATAAAGAACAAAAAATGTGATAACAGATAGGCATATGATCGTATCAATGTATAATAGCTGGATTAATTAATAAATGAATGCATACACTTAGAGAAGTTGAAATATCACTCAATATTATTGCTATCGATGTTAACATTTGAATTATCATCATTAAACTAATATTTTCGTTATTCGCAAGCAAAGAATTATGCACAGCAGAGAATCAATCGCATTAAGCATTAATCGTTCCACAAATTCACAAATTCTTCAACGTCCCTGTATCAGCTCATTCCTTTACGTAATCGCAATTAGTTTTTTAAAAATCAGCACAAAATAAATTTCGAAGGTTTTCGTTGCAATTTTCTGCAATAATTTTTCGCTTCTTGCATTAACTGAAACTTCCAAAAAACCATGAGGCTATTTAACAGAATGGAGAATACGTATACAACTAATAATCAACAATGCTACGAATTTTCAAATTGGGGAACGGCATGAATAGTACTGCTGTTACAGTGCTTATCGACTGAGAAAGAATAAGGTTGATTTACGAGATGGCTAGTTTATTTATCAACTGCCTATTATTAGTATAGTATTACATATAAGAGAAATATGACGACTTGTTCACTGTCTCACATTTCAGAAAAGTAAAATAATTGAATAATGAGTCACCATTCGTCTGTAATTGTTGATAATGTGTTATCAGCAATATCGGTTTCAGAACGTTCTATTGCAGTTCGTGTCACTTGCTTGTTATCATACTCATCAAATTCTTCTATATCCTCAGAGATATTCTCGTACCATTCTGCCTTAAGTCGGAATATTATAGAATGCAATAACATACTTTAACTTATTTCATTCTCATTTTTGTTATTTCGTTAAAAGATTATGACACGCATATGATTTGTGGAATCACTATCGGAAAAACAAGCCCGAAATCAAATCTAAAGCTGCCGCTGCAATATAAGTTGATGATGTTTTCTTATGAACAGTTTTCATATGGACTCAAAATTGAATGATGTTAAAATCGACGAAACGGGATCAGACCATGTCGAGACGCGGTGCATTGAACGAGAATTTGTAGGGTGGTAGCCAAATTGTATGCGTTAACAGTTCATTAGTACCACACATCCACTCGGGATCAACCAATATGTCATTTAAATGACACATATACACCTTTAAATGGTACACTTATATTACTGTCATTCGTTCATTCACTGACCAAATCGCAGGTTTGTAATCGTTAACCTCCAAAAAGTGCTTCACTTCATCCATGAAAATCATATGTTTCACCTTCATCTCATCAGTTGACTAAACTTTTATTCAGTAATTGCAAAATAACATCACTGTTTGATGAAATTCACATTCTTCCACCATCCACTCTTGACATATGGCCTCACAAAAAATTCCATTCCAGTGAGCACAATAAATTCAAAGTTCAACTTGTGTGTATGTGAAAAGAAATGAATCGTGTTCACCTTAAACCTCGTATTATCAAAATCTTTTCGCCACATATTCAAGTCGAGTTCCGATGTTCGAAATACGATCAATTCTTTGAGTGTTTTTGGTAATAATTGCATGAATGAAGACATATTCGAAGCGTTGTAGAAGTGAACATAAACAGACAGTCGTTGCAGTGGCAAATGACCGATTAAAGAAAGTTTATCTGGTATTTTGCGATGACATGATGAATACAATGATGGCGGTATCTCGAGTACTTCTAGATTTGATAACTCCGCTGAAATACAATCGCACCTCATTAAGCGTATTCTTTGGAGCATGATCAGAATTTCCATATGAAAGAAGACTTTTGAAAGTCATTTAAATCCACTCATAGGCGGAATTTCATGCTTAAAATGTTCGGAAATGGAATCAATAAATACCTTCACATTCTACCAATGAAAATGACGATTTTTGCCCGTTTTGTATGCTAAACACTCATCAAAAAAAGTATTGTATTGCAATGAATATTTATTGTACTTAAGCATAAACTGTTCCGAACATACTTTCACATTAGCTCAATACGAGAACTGACACCTTTGCTGTGGTTGATTGAAAATTAGACGGCTGGATGTG